AGTAACATGAAATTAAGTTTGTAGATCCCGGATTAGTTGAGAACCCATAAAAGGCGTACTTTTTCTGGTACTTTTTCTTTCTTCAAAAGGTACTTTTTGAATTTCCTATAATATTGAACCTAGAAACATGTAACTGAACATATACAACTTGCATTAAGTTGGTTCTCACTTAAATGGGACTTTTTAGTACATTTTCATTGTTCAAAAGGTACTTTTTTAAGCATGTAGAGCCTGAAGTAATTGAGAACCTATAAAATGGATCGTTTTACAACAGTTATTTTTTGATTTTTTGTAGTTTTTTTGTAAAAATTGCTAACTGGTTTATACGCCCTTATTCTACCACATGTCTTCCAAACATTCAACTATTTTAAAACATATTTAAATGTTTTTAAAGTCTACTTAACCTTTAGACAAAATAAAAAATAATTAAGAAGAATAAAAAAACATACAAGAAACATTATAAAGAATAATATAACAGCCAAAAAAGTAAAAAAAAGAAAAAATAAAATAAAGAAAATGATTACTGCTGCGTAAGACTATTTTAACGTCTTACTATTCTTTATCTACTGACAAAAGATATTGTCAGTGTTGTTTAGTTTAGTTTAATGCATTTTTTTCTTTTTCTTTGCAACGTTTTATCTACTTTTATATTTTCAACATTAGTCTTTCGTCCTTCGGTGTCTACGTTTAGTTTAATTTTTTATTTCAGTTCTTTTTTTCTTTTTTGCTTTTACAAAGAGAGAAATAATATTATTTACTACCATAACATTACTTGCAACGTATATGTTTTGCACTGTAACTGCCACCAAGCCAACTGCAATTGCAGCACTAACATAAACAGTAGGTGCTGCTGCAACAACCATGAAAAGTTTCGCTTCTTTTGAATTGTCGCTTGCAAGATTGGATGTGTGTGTGTGTGAGTGTTTGTGCGTGTTTAAATTACAATTTCACTTGTCTTCTCGTTTTCAATTTAATGAATTCTTACAGATCTAGGGTTACGTATAAAGAAGTACGTTAAGTTATAATGAAGAAAACTGGGCAGTGAGAAATAAATGAAAAACTTGATAAATTTTATAAAAAAAAATGCAAGAGAAAAATGGTAATGCCTTAGATCCTTTAAATTGATTTCTATTAATGCCAACTAAAGTACCTAAAGAAAGTAACGAAATAATTTATATATTTTCCAGTAACAATGGTCTTACATATTTTGGCAGAAGATAGCGAAAGTGAATATTCTTATTTGTCACTTATCAGCACTAAATGGATATTATTATTGAATGATCTGCAAAGAAATTCAGTTAAGAACTTTTATACACCCTTAAAAAGAAAATGAAAATTTTCATTACAAATTAGCATTCAATATACAAAATGAAATTTTATTACTATTTATTTGTTTTATAATGCACAGAAAAAACTGAAAACGATTTCAATTACCAAAACCTCGTTTTCAATTATTTTATTTTTTGAAGTTCAACCTATAACAAAAATTGTATATTCAATTACTACTTATAATTGATTTCGTACACAAAATTTTTATTTTTTTCTATTTTTGTTGTTGTTAAATACGTATTTGATTATACATTTTTATGAATCAAATACAAAATGAATTGAACCCTTTTAAAATTTTTGATTAATCGTTTAATTGAAAATTTTTTAAAATTAATTTTTTCTGTGTGTACTTACTGCTAAATTTGCACGTTTTATGTCGTTGACACCAAATAACTAAAAAATATTTAATATACATAAGTACATACTTAAAACAATAAATATTTGTTAAGTATTTAACAAATTAAACAATTTGCACTTCTGTTAAGTACTTGTCTCGCAAAACGATTTAATGTTTACAAACAACAAAATTAACACATTTTTCAAATATACATATTCAATACTGGCTCTTAAGTTTGTCATTAAACTTGAAAATTATTAACAGTGTCAGAGTGATCATTGAACTGGTAAATAAATAACCCAGCAAAAACTTGATAGTGAATACCAACTTACTTTTCAAAGTCTGTATACCATCTTCTTTTCTTTTGTGTACTCTACTTATGACATATTATATTACAAACGTTGCAGCTACTATTCTACACAAACAAAATACAATATTTGTTCAATTTTGCAAATTTTAAATAGGAAACTTCTAGAAAGATTGACTAAAAGTATTATTACAGATTTGGGGTTTAAACAATGGAAAGTTATCGAAAATTTCATATACAAAGTAAAATTATCGAAGATTACCTGTAAAAAAAAATTGTCGAAAATTCTCAATATATCTATAAAAAGAAGTTTTTATAAAAGATTTTCCGAACTGCTAAAGGAGCGCACAGCAGGTCCGTTAGAGGCCTAAGCACATTTCTTCGGATTTGTTGTTGTATACACAACCTCCTTTCAAACTAACTAACTAAGTAACTACTAACTAACTAACTAACTAACTAACTAACTAACTAACTAACTAACTACTAACTAACTACTAACTACTAACTAACTAACTAACTAACTAACTACTAACTACTAACTACTACTAACTAACTAACTAACTAACTAACTAACTACTAACTAACTAACTAACTAACTAACTAACTAACTAACTAACTAACTAACTAACTAACTAACTAACTAACTAACTAACTAACTAACTACTAACTAACTAACTAACTAACTAACTAACTAACTAACTAACTAACTAACTAACTAACTAACTAACTAACTAACGAAACTAACTACTAACTAACTAACTAACTACTAACTAACTAACTACACTAACTACTAACTAACTAACTAAACTAACTAACTAACTAACTAACTAACTAACTAACTAACTAACTAACTAACTAACTAACTACTACTAACTAACTACTAACTAACTAACTAACTAACTAACTACTAACTAACTAACTAACTAACTAACTAACTAACTAACTAACTAACTAACTACTAACTAACTAACTAACTACTAACTAACTAACTAACTAACTAACTAACTAACTAACTAACTAACTAACTACTAACTAACTAACTAACTAACTAACTAACTAACTACTACTAACTAACTAACTAACTACTAACTACTAACTAACTAACTAACTAACTAACTACCTAACTACCTAACTACTAACTAAACTAACTACTAACTACTACTAACTAACTAACTAACTAACTAACTAACTAACTAACTAACTAACTAACTAACTAACTAACTAACTAACTACTAACTAACAACTACTAACTAACTAACTAACTAACTAACTAACTAACTACTAACTAACTAACTAACTAACTACTAACTAACTAACTAACTAACTAACTAACTAACTAACTAACTAACTTTTATTTTCTATAAAAAGGAAATTTATCGAACAATTTTTATAATTAGAAATGTTTTACAAAATTTTTTATGTAAAATGAAATTTTGTCGAAAATTTTTATAATGTTTTCTAAAAGACAGACAATTTTGATCGAAAATTTAATCATATATTAAAAAAAAATGTATATTTTATCAATAATTTTCCAAGGAGAAAAAAAATATCAACATTTTTTTCGAAATTTATCAAAATTTTTTGGAAAAACTAGAAAATTTTCTGAAAAAATAGCTAGTTTCTAGAAAAAAAATATAAAATTTTTAGAAAAGTATAAAATTTAACACATTTTTTATAAAAAAAAATATCAAGAACTTTCTTAAAAATTTTCTAAAAAAAAGTTATTTTATGGAAAAAAATGTGTATGGTATATACTCAAAATGTAACAATTCTTTTAAGATCTCGATCGCTTTCGAATGCCAAAATTTGCCCCCAATTGTATACTTTATAAAAACTTTAAATTATTATGTTCTTAGATTTAAGATTATTTATTGTAGACTTTGCTTGTATTAAAATAGTTTAAAAATATTGCTTATAATTTGAATTTGTATGTATAACGCAATATTTATGAAGCGTGCCACCATCATATTTAGCAAAATCAAACAATTTGTTTAAATTTTTATAACAATTAAATAAATTTGCATAAAAATCTTAAGCAATTTTTCACACACACTTTTAAAATTATGAAATATTATTTATGCTAACAAAGAAAACTTGATTCTCTAAAGAAAACAAACAGCAAGTCATTTGTACACTGCGAGAAATATAGAATTTTTAGAAAATATTAGTCTTAATATATATATAAAAATAATTTCGATAATTGCCACTACTGTACGATAATTTTCTAGCAAAAAACATAAATTAAGCACAACTTCTAAAAGAAATACATTCATCATCAATTCGAAATAAGTTTAAACACATTGTGAGTGCTTATTTATAGCATCATTGAAAGTTTTGGCTTGTCTGGTCTTCAGATGCCTATGATAGTAAGTATAGCTGCTAGAAATATTCATTACCTACTTAGCAAAAACATTAAAAAGTAAGAAGCTAAAATGCTAAAATTTACTTACACAATAACATTTTAAGTTATTATTTTAAAAAAGAGATGATATTGGAAAAGTACTTACCACGCCCCCTTACAAATAGGGAGTTAGATAAGTTCTTACTTACTTACGATCGCCTGTAAATAGGAATTTAAGTCTTCTTTTTCGTTTGTGTTAAAAAAATCGAAAACAATATGTTAAGACTAAAAAGTAAGTACTTACGTAACATATTATTTGTAAGTCATTATTAGGCTCATTGTAAGTAATGCAGACGGTTTATAGTAGTCATTGAAAAGTAAGTTGCTAATTAAGTACAAGTCATTACCAAGTTTTTGCTGAGTAGTAATGTGATCTGTTGTGTAAATGTTTCATTAACAATTGTTTCTCTTAGTGTAAAATCTGTTAGTAAAGTCCAGACATAACACTATTTCAAACATAATTTATAATCAAAATTTTTAAATACTAAACATTAATAATTTAGAAAAATCCCCCAACCAGTTTGGAACTTAATAGAGAACGACGAGAGCGGCTACACTATAGCACGATAAAGAAATCAGATACAAAAGAGAATATTAAACGAAACTATAAAACTAACACAATAGTGGCAAAATACATTTAGTTGTATTTAGCTACCGGCTAATAAACAGATAAACGATACGGTGAAAAACTAAAATTGTTGCAACATGAGATTTTTAACAATTTCGATGTTTCTGCTATTGGCAGTGATGTGTGTAACGGTTAGTGGTAAGTAGTGAGATTAAAACGAATTGGTTAGAAAGTTGGTCCAAGATGGGTTATACTGAAACCCTTAACTAATAAGAGCCGCTAGTCGACAGCCCCATCCTGAGTTTATAAATAAACAAACATTTAATTGGATTAATGAAATGTGAAATCTATTAATTAATCTCACAATTAAAATTTTCAATTTCTCCTAAATTTCATTTATTGTAGGCAAAAGTATGGGAGGCAAAGATAAACCAGTAGCAAATGCCGAAAATTCTTCAACCAACAACATGATGACGATGAATTCAGAAGAGTCAAATGAGGAAGATAAACAGAAACCAGGAAAAGAAAACAATGAAGACATGATGATGTCATCAGCAACGTCCAGCAGTACAACAAAGAAGCCTAAAACAAAAAAGGATGAAAGTAAAACCACAATGTCACCAATGGACGAAGAAGATAAAATAAATAAAAAAGAAAATGATGACGAAGAAGAGGAAGATGAAAAAATGACTTCAACTACCACCAAAAAACCAAAGAAATCAAAAACTACTCCAGCTGTAAAGAAAACTACTACAACCACCACCACAAAAAAACCTGAAACCAAACCAGAAGATGAAAATAATGCAGCCGAAGAAAAAGATGATGATGAAGAAAAACAACAAGATGAAGAGGATGATGACGATGATAATGAAGAGGAAGACGATCCTATGGATATGATGACTTCTACTACTACCACCACAACAACCGAAAAACCTAAGAAATCCTCTACTTCTAAGAATAAAGATACCACAACATCCAGCTCAACTACCACCTCTACAACAACAACTACAACACCTCAACCCAATAACCTAGATGAAGACTTAAAAACCATCATGGATGTATGTAGAAAATTGCGCAGCAAAAAGAAAAACAGTTCTGAAGAAAATAGTTCCGAAGATAACAAGAAACATCATCATAGTTCCAAAAAAGAACGCAAACAGTTAAAGAAATTGTGCAAAGAAATTGCCAGACAGGAACAGCAACAACAGCAGCAGAAAGTTACAGATGCCATACAGCGTTTGGGTTCACAGCTGTTAAGTAGGGATAACACAGATATGCCCAGATTAAGTGATGTCATCAGACGTTTGGAACATCATTTTGCTGGACGCAGGCATTAAGTTGAAACTTGATAAAAAATTTATATTACATTTCTGAGAATACGGGAAATAATTAACGTTTTAAGTTAATTAAATAAATATTTTAAATAAAATTAGTGTTTATTGATTCAAATATACATACATAAGTATTTTGTAATGTAGGGAGTAAACTTTGAATGGGACCTTTTATGTCGGCTTGATTCAATTATGGACCGAGCTCCACAGAATTGATAAGAGTAACTTATTCTTGAAATAAATCACCTCCTCATAAAGTTTTGGATATATAATTCGTTTCTTATAAGAAGCACACCAGAGTCTCAGACCAAAATCAAACTCGCGACCCCTGACTGACAGACTAGCACACTACTAACTAACTTACCGGGCCACCCATTCATTGATATATGTAAATACTTGTACTTACAAGCCAGTATTGAGTCATAAAGTAATTGTCTGAAGGGGACCTTATATGGAGGGTCAATTATAGATCGATCGTTATAAAATTTGATTAAGAGATTTCACTGAAGGGAAATATATTTGGCGGACCCTTATAAACTTTACTAACCTTGACGTTCTTGATAGAAGGTTGATCTTCATAGTTGTTTAGTTTTAGTAGTTTTACTATGTCTGTCAGTCTAAAATCAAGGTCTCAGATATCTGTAAGATCAAAATAATTAGTGTTTATAAAAAACCGACTTTTGGAAAAACCGGTTTTTCGGTTAACCGAAAATTGACCATTTCTAGAAAACCGGTTTGTCGGTTAACCGAGTATAAAAAACCGGTTAAACCGGTTAACCGAAATGTTTGGAAATCTTTAAAATATTATAATATTTAGTTGAAAAAGTCATTATTATGAATTACTTAATAAGATATTTGCACTTTTTAGTATAGATATGTACATTAATATATCATAAGAAAACAAACTTATATAGATCTGAAGATATTATTGATTCGTTAGGTATATGGAAGTTGCCATAGGAGGGACCTTTGAATATATAATCCATCTATATCAATAGCAAAAATTATGTCCAGAACTATCAAGGCTCGCTACGATTTATCGGGAACGGAAGTAGACGACGACTGTCTCGACATAGACAGTGACCTCCCTTCGCTCGCTACGCCTGTGGTTGTTCAAATTACTGTGAATGACGCTTAGGAATATTGACAGGTGTCATTCTGACTTCCTGTCAATCAATCTAAGCGCCATTACAGTTTGTGAAAAACCCCAGCAGCATAAGTTCTCGGACGGCAACAACAATCCTTATGTTTCGATAAATAAAGTCCGTTTTGAGAACGTTTGTGAAACTTCTCGATTTTCACGCAGTAAACAAGTAAGTGCATCCTGAATTTTACCATCAATGTTATTTATCCGTCTTAATAAATAACAAATTTCTTCATATAATGGTTGGAATTTGTTTAAATAGTTAATTTTTTATTGGTTTAAATGCCAACTTTTTACTAATTTCCTGATTATCTGAAATTGTAAATCTCCATTTTATATACATAACATTTGTTTAACAATCTTAGGTCTGTTTTCATATGCACAAACGGAAAATAATGTTTAGAATTATCTATCCAAAATTTTTAAAAACCACAATAAAAAATCAGAGAAAACATACAATTTTGTACCAAAAATTTGATTTTTTTTGGAACCGGTTAACCGAGACTTAAAACCCGGATAACCCGGTTAACCGAAAACCAATGTTTTAAAAAAACTGGTTTGCGAAAAACCGAAATATGCAATAAAAACCGGTTTTTCGGTTATCCGGTTTATAAACACTAAAAATAATTATATCTATCTAAAAGTTTTCTGTTTAAAATTAGCTAAAGCTGCCCAATAATAACGGATACAAAATTCCGATACAACCCACTTAAATATTGTAAAAAATATATATATTTTTTTTAAAGAAGTTAAAATAATCGCAATGAAGATTTTATTGTCAAAAACACAGAAAAACTAATAATTTATCAAACAGTTGACATCACTAATTTGCTAAAGCTTTTTCCTAACAATATCAGTAAAAACACACAACTTATATAAATTTAAAATAAAAGCTGGCAATACTTTCAAACGTAATTTATGCAAAAGCTTTTATTTGATCGCACAACAAAACATCTTTCTCTTGCTAACATTAAAGCTTTGACACAGTTTAAAAGCTTTATTTTGATCTAAGTAACGCTCAACAGTTTCGTTTAATAGGTTACGCTTAGCAGCGCTTTGCAGCATGTGGTCTTAACTTGTTTTAAAGCAACAAGAAGATCACAACAAATCTATTAAAATCATTTAGGGTGTTTGTAGGCATTAAATCAAAGAACATTGACCTAAAATGCTCGTGGACAAGAAAAAAAACCTCTGACACTTCTTTGTGAAGCTTTAATAATGAAAACTTTTCTTTTTTCGTTTCGTTTTTTTTTTTTTTGATATACCCTACCACACAGTTGGTAAGGTATAATTTCTGTTGATGTTTGTAACGCCCAAATTTTAAGCTGAAACTTGTCTATATTTAACCCAAGTCCATTTATTTCAGAAAGCAGTCTATGTATGTATTTGGCAATATTAGTGGGATAAAATTCACTTTATATAAATTGAATAGCAATTATAATAATTTTTCCAAATTATGTGGACCGGTCCATTATTAACAGACCTAAAACTGGAATGCTCTATAAGATTACAAATTAAATTAAAATTTAACATGTAAATGTTTCAGTAAGATTAATTGACTATTCCTTCTGGGCATTACCTGAGATAACAATACTAGTGTAGGGTTTTATATTGTCGGTCTGGATCGTCTTTACTTTCTTAATTTGTTTTTTTTTATACCCTACACAACTTTAGTGGGGAGGATATATTGGGTTTGTGCTGATGTTTATAACGCACAATAACATTGGACCTATACCCACCTTAAAGTATACCAATCAGCTAAGAATCATTTTCTGAGTCGATTTAGCTATGTCCGTCCGTCCGTCTGTATGTCTGTCCGTCCATGTAAACCTTGTAATCAAACTACAGGTCGCAATTTTGAAGATAATTCAATGAAATTTGGTACATGAACTTCTATTGTCCCAGGGACCTATTGAAAATGGTTAAGATCGGTTCATTATTTCACCTAGCCCCCATACAACTGAGCCCCTGAATAGGGCTTGTAAACCTTGTAATCAAACTACATTTTGATGATAATTCAATGAAATTTGGCACATAATCTTCTATGGTACCGGAGACGAAGCCTATTGAAAATGGTTAACATCGGTCCACTATTTCACCTAGCCTCCATACAACTGAACCCCTGAATAGGGCTCGTAAACCTTATAATCAAACTACAGGTCGCAATTTTTATGATAATTCAATGAAATTTGGCACATAATCTTCTATGGTACCGGAGACGAAGCCTACTGAAAATGGTTAACATCGGTCCATTATTTCACATAGCGCCCATACAACTGAACCCGACGAATAGGGATTTCAAGTTCATAATTATGTTTAATATAATCGTATCTCGAAAAAAAGCTGCAAAACCAAGTTCTATACTAGCCTTGATGACTCTCATGAATTTTATAATTATAGGGTCTCATTTGACCATAGCCCCTATACAAAACCCTCTTCAAAATTTGACTTAAATATCCAAAATTTTATTCAACAATAAATGGCTTAAGTACATCTGAGACAAGGTACAATTCAAATTAAATGCTTTATTATGAAAACTAAATCACATTTTAATTTTGTAACAAGTATTATATGGTCGGCCTCGCCCGACTGTAATATCTTACTTGTTTTAATTTAAATTTGATCTAAAAACAAACTTAACAGCGATCATTATTAAGCCAAAAGAAAATAAAAATTTTAATAAATGATGTTTTTGTTGGCGTTCTTTGAACTTTTGGCACTTCTTTTTTCAAAAAATTCTTAATGTTTTTGGTTCTGGTTGTTTGTCTAACGTAAGAATACCAGCATTTTTATGTTGGCCAAAAATTGATTTATTCATAGATTCTTGTTAAATGTTCTTTTCTAAGATTTCTTTTGCTGTTTTAGCTGTGGGCTAAAAGCTAAAGTTACCCACCGTTGTGCTTTCTTTCTTTCATTTTAACTTTTATTTCATTACAAATCTTTGGAGTCCATCATAAAGAATTGTTTGTGTGTGTTTTTCTTGTCGGCAGCTTTAAAACAGAGTTTATATAAGATCATCATGAAATTAATGAACAAGTTTAGTTCTTGGCAAAAATTCTTACAGAAGGGACGCAAAATTTGTGCGATAGACTAAAATCAAAATGAAATTTTTTACGCTGCTACTTAGTGTAGCATTTTTAGCAGCTGGTATTGCAACAGTAAATGGTAAGTCAGTCAAGCAAGAAATTATTATTTTATGGCTTAAAAAATATTGATGAATAATTTCTAGGTAAACTTACCGAAGAACAAAAACATGGCAAGTCAACAGTGACAGCTGTTAAGCCCACCGCGGCACCTCTAATGACTTCTACAACTGCCCCCACAAAAGCACCCAAAGCCTTAGTTACACCCACCAAGCCAGTTACAGTAAAAACTACAGATAAACCTAATAATGCCACTAAAAAAGCTAACAGCAGCAAACCTGCTGAGAAAAAGACCGAAATGAAACCTACCGAAAAGACCACCATGGTTAAGGATATGAAAATGGAGGTTTCACCCATTGAAATGCCCGCCACAGTAAAAACTGAAGAAGCTAAACCTCTGGCTGTTACCGGTTTCATTACCAAAAATGGTGATATCTATGAAATTGAAGATAAAAATGGCATTGGTAAGATACAATCTCGTCAAGCTGATGATGAGGGACAACATGTTTGCAACTATGGAGCTATTGTCATATACAGTGATGTACCCTGCGACCAGGTAGCCAATGTCAAAGTAAGTGAAGTTGAAGAGAAACCAGCTCTCGATCAAGCTCCTGCCACACAACAGGAAAACAAACCTGCCGAAAATAATGATGATAAAAAAGAAAAGGAAACAGAAGATAAAGAAGATTTAGATACCCAAAAACAACCCGCTAAACGTCGTCGTCGTCCCAGCAATAAACGTCGCAACAAGAATAAGAAATTGCGACAACAAAAACGCAATAAAAATCGTCGTAACGGTAGTGCCCAAAATCGTCCCAAAAACACCAACAATCGT